CACAGGTTCACTTTAGTGGTACTGTATACCCCATAGGAATGTTTTAAATACATATATGATAATGATCTTTGCTTATTTAGGTATATGTGACAATTTAGCTCTTAACAATAATGTCCAATACAATTGCATTTTGACACTGCTTGAGGGGATATATCTTTAAAACCGCAACGCTAAAAAGTCTATAGATACCACATGACTAACTCCATAGGTCCATTGAATTCATTACTGCGATCTAGATGCCGTCCACTTCCAGCAACACAAAATAAATCAAATAAACACAACACAAAATAAAAGGCTTCATCCGTGGTGCAGGTAACAGTAAAAGGACATTTTGGAAGGAGTTGTTGTTGGTGTGATACGTTTTCCCAGGACTTTCTTAAGAATCACTGCAGATGTTTTTTAAGAGAGTTTGTGGGTTAACTAGAACTGCTTCTTATACGGTAGCTGATCACACACTACAGTATCTCCTAAAGTATCAGTTATAACCACTACATGTAACATGAAAATCCTCACAAAAAGAGCTTTTCCCTACATAACTACTTCCTTACTAATTCCTGGTTTTGAAATACAAGTGGATGCCTTAATTAAAAATCAGAAATGGTAACTGGCTGCAGAGAGAGTTCCCCTAAATAGGTCGATAGTGAATGGCATTGTTAAAAAAGCCACTTAGACACACTGTAAGACTAAACTCTGAGTAATGGCCTCTGCCCACCAGTCCCCTACACGAATCAGGGTACAGTACACCGTATGAAGCATGAAGAAGAAGGAAAGTCCTCCCTCCACTTGCCACTAGTGAAACTGGCAATAAGAGGCAGTAGCAGTGCACTGTAAAGGAGCAGTAAGTCGAAGAGCAGCCATGTGTTGGTGCAGGAATGTTTAAGATGAAACTCCAAGAGTAGCATTGTAAAAGAAGTATTAAAACAGGCTGCACCACTGTTGTTTGTGTTGCCTGTGAACACAGAAGCTACACTTTGAGGGTGACGAGCTTCAATCACTAGACCTCCTGCTCTTCGTGTGAAGACCAATACACTGAGTTCCTCACTTGGAGGCCTCTCTATCATAACCAATCACATTAACGTCTCAGAATCAAATGAATTACAACTCCACTTACTGTATTTAAAATTTAAAAAATCCATTTATGTTAGTTACCTGTCAAAAAAAACTAGTATATATAAACCTTAAGGCAAAACTTCCCGTTGAGAGCTGATTTTGTTCTGTGAAAGAGGATGAAGCAGTGTTTTGTCTAGATTGTTGGTTATTTGTTACGTTTTTGCTGATTAGTTTTCTAACCTCCCATCCATGTGGTATAAGGTAAATAGTTAGTCTTAAAAAATCACAAAATCAAAGATGAAAGCAGTAAATTATTTTACTTTGTATGTGTTATATTTGTATATCCTTTCATTGTTAAATAAAATGTTAAATGTTAAAATAAAAAATTAAGGCAAAACAATTAAGGAAATTAAATATTATGCTACTCTTTACTTTGATATGGGTTCCTGTTCTTGGATTGTGGTGTTGAAATCGCAGCCCCCGATAAGGGCTCAAGTCTAGATCTTTCCCTCTGAAATTACCTTTAATATCGAGTCCTTGAAAATCACAAATACTATAAAGATTGCCACTCAAAGGACCAATCAAAGATTATGCTAATTCAGTTTCGAATCATAGCCCAGTGTGTTGAGTGTACTGTGCACACTAATTCTGCACACTGGTGATGGTGGAGAGGAGTCCCCATTACCTGTAAAGTGCTTTGATTGGTGTGTCAAGAAAATAATTATATACCGTAAGTGTAAGGAATTATTATTATTATTATCATCATCATCATCACATCATCACCAGCCCCTGTTCATGGCTAAGGACATTATGGCATTTCTGTTAGAAAAGTAATGTAAATAAACCCACAAAGAAACTGCAGAAAGATCTATAGTATGTAAAAAAGCATATATTGTGGAGAAACCTTAAATATTTATTTTGCTTGTAAAATATTCTTAAGTTTCTTCATCAGATCCCTCCATCAGCATTCTCTGGCGTCCAGTTATCTATGAAGCTCCACCCACTGTCTGCACAAAAAGTGACAGTGTTCAGTTTTCACTGCTGACAAGGGTGCAAGGGTCTCCCAGTCACAGCCCAGCCTTGCTCCTGGGTAATGACAGAGAGCCCGCCAGCAGCACAAGAAAGGAGGTTTCGAAGGAATGTCATGAAATCGTTGTGTGAAGGTGAGGAAGCCATGAAAATACGCGAACCCATGGAGGTGTCGCTCACAGAATCTCCTGAGTGATACAGGACCTCTTTTCTGTCTGCGGCTCATTCCACATGCTGCACTGCTGAGTGTTCCCGACAGCACATTCCACTGCTGTAACAACAAGGTCTTGATACACGAAGACAACTCCAGAGTCTGCTGTCGTTGAAGTACGTGTTGCTGTGCAGTTATTGAGCTCACTGTGTCCAAGAAATTGCACAATCCACCACTAATGTATCAGCATGCATTAAAGGCTTCTGATCAACCACACAGACATATTCTACATCATAATTATTATTATGCAATGTGTTCCGTGTTCACACTTTTGCTATTCTTGTGCAATGTTGTAGTTTATTGCTTATTCAAACTTGACACCCAGGTAAGGCTGCATGTTACATTTTCTTGCCTTAATTACAGTTTTTAGTTCATAATGGGAACTTCTAATCCACCCTGAATGAAAGTTCTTAAACAAAGGATCATATAATGAATAGAACTTCTTTTGAACACAATAAACCTGTCACTTGTGTGGCTCATTCATTCTCTCATGTCATCTGAAGAAAACAAAATAGAAAACAAGCTAACTGTATCTGGATGCACATTCATCTTAAAACAGATTCACATAAACTGGCAGCTGAACCAAGCTGCTCGAGTATATCCACAAAGCGCAAGTGTATTTGTTTTCATAAAAGGCAGTCACGTTGAAGGCTATAATTATGTGCTGAATTTTAGATGATGTGTACCGGTATTTCAGATTTTAATCAGACTAAAAACCATATTCATAAAACATGTACCACCATGCACTTTTAACCAGTAGTAATTCTAGGGTGGTGGAAGATGCAGAACTCCATTCATGCTTCCCCATCTCCAGATTCACGTCAATTCCCAATCTTTGCAATATACTCAGTGATGCAGAATGACATGCAATTTATAATAAAAATAATCGCTTACACTTCTATAGCGCTTTTCTGGACACTCCACTCAAAGGGCTTTACAGGTAATGGGGATCCCCTCCACCACCACCAGTGTGCAGCCCCACCTGGATGATGCGACGGCAGCCATAGTGCGCCAGAACACTCCCCACACATCAGCTATCAGTGGGGAGGAGAGCAGAGTAATTAAGACAGTTCATAGATGGGGATTATTAGGAGGCCACGATTGGTAAAGGCCAATGGAAAATTTGGCCAGGACACCGGTGTTACACCCCTACTCTTTTCGAGAAATGTCCTGGGATTTTTAATGACCGCAGAGAGGACCTCGGTTTGACTCATTTTAACCGGACAAAGGCAGCACAATGGTGTACGTGCCCTGATCACTAGTTCAAGTAGGGAGCTGCGTCAGCATGCATAGGCTGCAAAGGAAGATGTAAAGGTTTATTCCATGCTAAAAAAGAGCTTTTTCACACCCTAAGAAGGCTCCACAGCTGAAATGTTTCCTGTTTTCTCTTTTTAGCATGGAATAAACCTTTTACTTATTCCTGATCACTAGTTGTTTTTTAACTCTTTTCTCTTAACCCCACTGCACTCCAACCCAACGAAGCAATGAACTTCATAAGCAATGGCCAGCTCATTCAGTATATCTGTAGGCCTAAAGAACATGTCTCACCATTTTGCTCTAATGTGTTGTACATACTATTTTTATAGTGTACGTCATCTGTTACACCGAGATTCGCGTAAATATCCGTTATCAGCACCTCTTTGGGAAAAAAGCTAAATCAGTTTTTAATAGCGAACACTTGAACACGATACAATACGTTTCTGTCTGGAATACTTTAACATGCTTACCAATGGGTAATAAAACACTAATTTTAACGCAGTCCATTTTTGGAATATTTGTTTAATATTGCCTATTCTACAAGGACAGAAGGAATGTGAGGTTCGAGCAAACAAGGAGATCGATATCCTCTCTGGTGAGAGTCCAATGTGCGTAGCCCAGAACTGAAACAGCATAAAGGTCAGTGGTAGCTACATCATTTACACCGACACATGTCGGTTGCCTAACTTGGCTGAGGAGTCGACGACCCCCCATCCGCAATTCCACACACCACAGAAACTGATTTCATACAGATAGAGCCGCCCTCAGTGAAACAGCTTCACTTTTTAAAATGTGTTATATCACACATCCCACTAATAAAACAGTGCATTACGAAAGACGTGAAACACAGAACGGTCCGATCGCGTCCGATTCAATCGCTACAAAAATAACGCTTCACGGTAAAGCAAAATCTACACCATCACTGTGTTCCCAAAAAGAAAAGCGCGTGTCCCCGGATTATGACGCGTTTCCTCTTTTCCCAGTGCAGGAATCCGTTTTTTTTCCCTCACTCTTCATTTAGGTGGAGAATTCAGCTAGGAGGGGTTTGGCTCCAGAGAGGCAGGGACTGCTGTTCTGCTGTACATCTTAAGTCTGCTAGATTGCAATGAAACACTAGCCATTTCACAGGTAGGATTTAATGTTTTCCGCGAGTTTTTTTTGTGCCTGCTGTTTTATGTACACGTTTGCAGCTTGAATTGTCCCCCTTTGCAGGGCTGATTTTGTGAACTAATGCATTTAAATTTCTGCCATCCAGCGTGCATTCGAAAAAGTACTGATAATGCTGAATGGAAAGAGCGAGGACTACTACGAACCATCTGATCCCATGTTTAAAATACTTACTTGGGTTGTTAGAAAGTGCCCGTTCCCCCGTTCTGTTACATGCGATTCATGTCTCATTGAAAATACATAATTAGGTTCAGCCCACTAAAAGCGAGAGGGAGACCCTGGCGTATTGAGAGGCAGAAGGCTGCTGGCGGAGTGATGTTGCCTGTTGATTAATTTTATATGAATGAAGCTGGCAGCCGGAGACAGGGTTAGACGGGGAACGGAACGCCGTGGAGAATGGGATCATGCTTTTCACTCCCGGGGAAAAGAGGGGAAAAAACTCGCTTCGAATACCACGCCAGAACCGAGTCCTAACGGGATTCTTAAAGCCTTCGCTAATAAGCAACCGAGATATAACTGCGAGAGAGGGGTATTGCCTTTAACCTGTATGTCGTAAGTTAAACGTACAGAATAAACGTTCTGCCGCGAATGTTGTCTGTCTCCATGTATGTATTGTTTTTTTCTCCAGAAATTGTAATTTGGTGCCTATAAGATAACTGCATGGATAAGGGCGAAGAGATTTGAAGCCGCCATATTTTAATGGATCTCCCATTTAGCACTGTGAATATCTTGTAGTTACTGTACCTAGTCAGATTTCTATTCCAGTGAACTTTGTGATATTAGTGGACAATTAAAAGCCTTCGGAGAGCATGCAAGGAAATAGTGTAAAAACTATTTTCCTCTGATACATAGACTACAAATAAACGGCGGGTTGCTTAAACCAGTGCCCCTACCTCCGCGTGACCATGATCACAAAACACCGTTTTCTGATATTTATATTTGCATTTCTGAAGAGAGAATAGATGCCTTTATTTAACTCAGCTTTCTAAAAGGTAAAGATCAATTGAAGTATTCTTCCAAGAGGTTACAAAATAAATTCAGCGCTTCTTGATAATATTAAAAACATGGGTCGGGGTTGTATTGGATAGAAAAAAAAAGTATTGGAGTAATGTTTTATTTAGCCTAAAAATGTTGATTACTGGCTGCAGCGTTTTACCAGATGGTTGCCAACAGTACGATCCAGTTCTCGGTATGGACAAAGTTTATTTTTAAACGTGTAAACTCAGCTGTCATTTTGCCCCATAAACTTTTTGTGCAGTAGGTTGCAGCAGAACCGGGTCGGCCGCTTGATTGAATGTAGATCAAGTACTCCAGGGGCGCTCTGCTGTAGTTTTTATTGTAACACAATGTAGCAGTCCGAGAAACCGCACGTTTTAACTAGTATCGTGTAAGAGAAACATTGTAGCAAAGGCATATTTGTAAACGCTGGTAAGTCGTTTTTATTCAGACCACAAGATGTGATTTTTAAACCAGCAGATTTACGCGACAAGGGTGTTTTTTTTTTGTGTGTGTGTGGTATGTCTTGTTGTTTGGGATTTCTAAGAATTTTGCACGGCATCTCCAAGCGGAAGTTGTAGTAAAAACCATCTCCTAGTGCAGTTACTAGCGGATCATGGTAGAGCCACACCCCTTGAGAAATTAAATGTGTTCACAGATCCCGTTCTCCAGGCACTATAATGCTTCCAGAAGAGGCGAAACTACTGCATATAAAACAAAAGAGAGGCTTGTGAGTTGAATGGAGGCAGCGCATTAGGGTTAGCTGCAAAGTGACCGGGTTCCAGTTCACAGGCTTGTTACTCCCAATGACTGGCGGCGGCGTGCGGGTTATAATTAAGAAAAGTGCCTCGGCGCGGGTTCCTGAACGTCTGACCTCCGGGTCAAAGGCTTCTGTTTAGGCGAAGCGAAAAAAATTAAACGAACCTGGATAGGAACAGGCTTGTCAGTCTGACGGGTTGAGCTGACAGCAAGACGAGGACTCGGGCGAGATCGTTTTCATCAGCAGGGGTGCAGACTCCAACACGACCAGTTCTGCAGCCTTGCGCTTGTTCGATTAATACCTACAGGTGAATCGCATGTTGGGGGGTCATCCTTTGAAAAATCTTAGGAATTTCAAGATTTTCTGCAAAAAGAAAAAAGCCTATGATTAAGTTGATAAATGTTTTATTTTCCCTTAGAAACAAACAAAAAAAATTCAGTCATTTGCATTTTTCCAATATACCACTGCATGTGTACCGTGCAACGTGCAGATTTGGTCTTTTAACCGCTGCCGCTGATCATCTTTTTCTAGAACGAGAGGAAATCTGGAATGTCGCAGTCAAACCATTAACTAAAACTTGTTCATAAAATAAGAATGCGTGGTGGGGGGTTTAAAAACCCATATAATTAGAAATTCATATGCTTACTACTATGAAGCGTATTCCAGACGCCACTACCTATTATAAAGAACCATTTTCTGTTCTCCATCCTCAATGAAATCACCTTTTACTTTGCCACCGTAATGTCACGCTCCTCTTTCCCTCCTGGGTATGAAAGAGTCACGTGGACTGACAGGATCTGCACCCCGTAGGAGTTTGTACTCTTGGCTCACAACTGCTCCCAATCTCTTTTGGATTAGATTGAAGAGATTCAGTTCCTTTAACTGTTCGGTGTATGGCAACCCCCAGAGACCAGGATGATTGCATCTGGTTTCTTTTTGCGGTCTATGGAATTCCAAGTGCTGTTTTCGTTTTTTTATACTGTGGTGACAATATTCTGAATCAGTGTCTTATTAAAGGTTTATAGAGCTTGAGTCCAAAACATGATCTGAAATTAAACACTTTTTGCATTATACCGAAGCATGCATTTGTATTGTATTGCTTCATGGAATTGCTTCCAGGACATGGAAGGAGCAGCATAATCACCCCCACTCCTTCCCTGTAGGACAGAATCTGCAATGCACTGTGTTTTGTGTATCTACCTGCAGGGATCGCTTTGCCCTTATGAATTGACAAATTAATATCTTGTAGAATTAATGATTTTCCAATTTCTTTGCTGCGTTTGCTTTTTGTCACTTCCCACCTTTGTGGATTATCTGCAAATTAATCGGTAGTAAGGAACAGTCGATGTAGTTCAGGAAGAGCAGCTGAACCACAATGGATCAGTCTTTGGTACTCCATTGCTCCACTGCTTATAACCATTGCATTAAGGCTTATACTCCTTAAGATGATGCACTGTTTTCTGCTCATTGACCAATTTGTGATCTGTATACATTATCTTGGATTCCTATAGTGTATAATTCAAGAGTTAATCTTTTATGTTGGACCTCCGAGAATGTTGTGTGTTTTAAATTTATGAACTGTCCTTGTTTGTTGTTGGAAGAAAATCCATGTTGTCCAAGTATTGCTGATATCTTTTTAGCTCTATAGCTTGGTACTGTATGTGCTTTGTCTGTTTTCGAATCCTCTTTCTGCAGTCTCTAATGTACTCTGTTCTGATTTCTCTCTATTAAACCACTTAAGCCATATAATTTTCTTAAACTCGGAGCTGTTTTTAGGGGATTAATTTAATTTGAGACTTTAACATTGTTTCTGACGTATAATCATACTTCTATTGACAGTCTGTTCCCTTTTTATTGTTTGAAAGCTCTGCCCTTTTCCTTCATAGTTGACTGTTCTAAAATTATACAGTCTAATTTTAGATGCATTCTTCATAGATTGTAAGTGTGCATCAAATGTAACCATATTACAGAAATACTGAGGGGTTTGTTTATATCTATTCCATTAATTTATATGCTGGTTATTGGAAAAGACTGTCAGCTAAGAGTACCTTTCCTGGTAGGTACTTTTACAAAGGGTGGGTGGGTTAAAAATAATCATGTCAAGTATTTCAGCAGTATCCGTTTAATATTTTGTATTGCCCAACCCACTATCCCAAATTATGTGTGGAAAAATTGAAGTCCACCAATATAACATCTTTGTTACAGACCTTCTGATCTCATTATAAGTAAACCACAGTATTTTTGCTCATTTCTGTAGCCTGCAGCTATTGTTAAGCCCTTGAATCTTGTGTATTGCAGCCTGTATCCTTATGCTGAACCACTCTTTTTTCCCCCCATTAATATTCAGGATTGTATTAACAAATGTGTACATGTGTGAAAGACAGGAAGTCAGTGAAAATGGTTACAATTGGAGAACCAGAGAATGCAGAACTCAACCGACTCAGAATGTGGATGTAATCCTGTCTGGCAGACTGCTAAAATGTGCCAACTTGTAGTTTGTGTCATAGTGGTCAAAAGGACGGCCCCATCTCCTGATATGCTAGTTTATCCTAGACATGTTAAATTGGATTAGGTTTGGGCTTGGTGACACCTGTATAGAAGATGACTCCACAGAAGGTGGTCAAGTTCTTGTAGGCATAGATTGTACTGGAAGTGACAATGGATGCTGTTTTACAGAATAGGGAGAAGAGGATGTGTGGATGGGTGTATTTTTGATGGTTTTGTGCTTTTCAGAGAAGACATGACTTTTAGGGTAAAATAGTGTAATCCGTGATGCACTTTCCCATTGCTTTGTCGTCACATCGGTCTCATCAGTTTATGACATGTCTTTGATATTCTAGCACTAACTAGTCCACTTTTCTTAAGTTCACACAAATGTCACTTTAGGAGAGTAGGAACACTCTGTTGTAATGCTTATCTCCCAAAGATGTGATTTGGTAGAGAATGTGTAGATCATCACATTTCTTGTGCCTCACCGGGACACTTTTACTTCCAAAATCTGTTCAGTTGTTCATCTGAATGGAACCCAGACACAAGTTTAATCAAAATTTATCTGAAATTAATTCATGCATTTTCTTAATGTGGCCAGCACGTTGGCAGTTCGCTATCAGTATTTTTTCTGTAATTAGAGGTTGTTTATAGCTTCTCTTTTCATACAGCTCTCAAAAGAAGAACTTGGCATATTACGGATTTACAAGTACCTATTCTATTCAAAGCACATAGGCCTATATTTCTTATATGTCATAACGTGTTCTATTTCCATGGTAACACTGAACTTACTTGAGCATTGGAGCTGTAGTTCACCCTTTTCATTGGCAGTTGTTTTCTTTTCATCCTTTACAAAACGGAAAACCACTGGTCTTTATGAAACTTTCATGTGGCTTACATTGACCCGAAGTCACTTAATTGAAGGCTGTCTGTCTGAGATCTGGCTGCATAAATCAACAGCCTCATAGTGGAGTGATGAGATATTAGTCTTATGCCGTCTGATGTCTAGCAGTGCCTGTGTCTGTTATTATATAAGTGTTCGGTCTTCAAGATTATTCCCAGCTCGCTCTCCAGCAATGTTGCGATGCATGAATGGTTTCTGCTAATGTAGGTTGCAATATGAGACTCAGGACTGATTCACACATTGCTCCAATGACGTAGTGGCAGATACAGTAGAGGACTTGGTGCTGGAAGTGTGATGGGACTGTACATACTGTTGATTAAGAATCTGTTGCAGAATTAATCATTGGATGAGTAATACTAAGACATTGAATGTTAAATGCATAGGATTATGATGGGTTGTGGCTGC